TATGAGTCAGAGAGATGAACAGTGACTAAGGATGATAAAAGGAGAATTGGTGCCTTTGAGCTGTAGTGCTGGAGAAGAGTATTGATATACCATGGACTGCTAAGAAAACAAACAGGTTTGTCCTAGGTTAAACCAGGCTGCTCCTTGTAGGCAAGGATTCTGAAGCTTTGTCTGACATATTTTGGACATGTTGTAAGGGGGGACCAGTCCTTGGAGAGAGATGTCATGTTTGGGAGGGTGGAGGGACACTGCAGGAGAGGAAGACCCTCTATAAGATGGATTGATTCAGTGACGGGGGTAATGGGGGTAGCTGTGTTGGAGACAATGAGATTGGTCCAGGATAGAGCAGGGTTTAGAGCTGTTGTACATAAGGGTCGCTATGAGTCGTAGGCTACTCAACAGCACATAACAGCATTTTTACAGGACACAATTCATTCTATGATGACCTAGAAAAGAGAGATCTAACATGATGGGGTGTGGGGAGGAGCTGAGGATTTCTCAGGGAAGAGCTCCTTGAGCTCCAAGGTGGAAGGTGAGGAATAGTTAACTAGGTTACAAAAACAAGAACACTCCAGGCAAAGAGGAGGATGTGTAAAGGCCCTGCCACAGAAGAATGAATGCCTGATAGACACAGGATCTGACAGTGGAGCAGAAAGGGGAAGCTGGGAAAAGCAGGAGGCAGCCAGGATACATAGGACCCGCCCTAAGCTAAAGATCTTCATTTGGAAATCTTAATTGCATTTGAGATCACTGCCAGATGGGTCCACAGAGGCCAGAGGGAACTGCACTGCACTAGGGTGCAGGCATTAGAGAATGGGCAAAAGAGAAGTGAACTGATTGGCAGTGATCTGAGGCCACTGACTTGGCGATGGAGTGGAAAATGGGAGGAGAAAGAAGTGTCAAGACTCTCCTATTTAATTTTTCTTTTGCAAATAACACACCCATGTAAATAGAATCCACACGATGCAAAAGAAACTATAATCTGCAAGTAATCTGCTCCATTTGCAAAAAAACCCCTTAAATGTATTATTTGTGTAAAAATACAGTAGACTGAATTATAGGTTTCTGCCTCATGTAACAAGATGGATGGTGGTGGGATTCTTTGAGACAAGAAGCATAGATATTAATTTGGAAACATTTTTTAGGGAGCTCCCACTTGTCACTAAATCAGAGATCTTTGAGGACAAGATAAGGTATGTGGTTTCAAGAGCTTACAGTCTAGCACTGTATAAAGACTGATGAATTTAACAGTGTGTGCTGAGTCAGACCTCTATTCCAGGTTCAGGCGGATCACACAAAGTCGTGGCCCATCCTGTGGGTGGTGGCTTCATGGAGAAAGTGACCACTAATGTAGAGCAGGAGGCAGAGATGAGAAAATTAAAGGCGTCAAAGGTGGAAGACTACAGACAAAGGCAAAATAGTATCTTCCTACTCGAAGTGTAGTCCCTGGGCCAGCAGCATCTGCAGCACATTGGAGCTTATTGTTGTTGTTATGTGCCGTCGAGTCATTTGCGACTCATAGCGACCCTATGTACAACCCTATGTAATATAAACCCTGCTCTATCCTGTGCCAATCACACTGCCTCTGACACACCCATCTTGATTACCCCAGTCACTGAATCAATCTACCTCATAGAGGGTCCTCCCCTCTTGCACCGTCCCTCCACCCTCCCAAGCATGATGTCCCTTTCCAAGGACCTGTCCCTCCTTGCAACATGCCCAAAGTATGTCAGACGAAGCCCCAGAATCCTTGCCTCCAAGGAGTTGCTTGGTTTAATCCTCTCCAGGATGAATCTGTTTGTTTTCTTGGCAGTCATGGTATATTCAATACTCTTCTCCAGCACCACAGCTCAAAGGCATCAATTCTCCTTCTGTCCTCCCTAGTCATTGTCCAGCTCTCTGATGCATAACAAGTGATTGCAAAGACCATGGCCTGTATCAGGTGCACCTTAGTCTCAGGCCTCACCCCAGGGCTGCTGAACCAGAGTCCACATTTTATACAAGCACTCTAGGTGATTTACATGAACATTATGAGAAAGGCTGACCTAATTAAGTATTAGACCTACATGAGTTTTTACATCTGGCTCTGTAATTTGTGGCTCTGGGCTCTGAGGCCCCTTAATTAATTTTTCTAAATTTCTGGAAGTTTAGAAAGTGAAATGGAAATCACGGTAACACCTACCTCACTGGATTGCTCTGAGGATGAAGATCCAGGTATCAAGTAAAAGTGCTTTAAAGTGTCAGTCTTCCAAACTGGAGTTTTTGAATGATCAACAAAAGGCTTTCAGATATGGGAAAGGATGAACAATCTCTCATTACCGAAGAAATGCAATTCTTTTTTAACGTGATTTTCACCACCTCACTAATTCCGACACACCAACCCCCCAGTGAGACTGACTCAGGACAGGGAAGGCTTTAGAGCTGCTGTACGTAGGATCGCTATAGGTCACAGGCCACTAAACAGCAACAACATATTATATTGGTTTAGAGTCAACAAGACCTCGGGGAGGGCCTTTGTACTTAAAAGGTTGTTATTACACTTTGGAAGAACATTCTTCTAAGTGGTACAGCACTCTTCTGTCAATGTACTGTACTGAGGTAACCTGGGGTTGCTGTGACGCTGAACCTTGTGGCACCGGGATGTCAAATGATAGATTTGGAAGCAGAAGTGGCATCCACTTTCTAAACAACATGCCTCTGGAAACTATGTACTTTGAGAAACGATAGTTATAGAAAGGCTTCAGGTCTTTTGTTCACAGGGTTGCTATGAGTCGTGCTAGACTAGCAGAGTGGACTGGATGGCAATCAACAACAAACAACAATTCTTCCCATACCCTGCCCAGGTTAAGTGATATTTCACAGTTTAAAACAAACAAAACAGCAGGATTTTCAGCAGTAAATCACACAGGAGGAGGTTACCCATCCTTCTTCCATGAAGCAGTTTGTGGATTAAATCAAACTGCGCGCTTCTGGGATTCTAGTATAGCTTCATAGCACTAGGCCACCAGAGCTCCTAATAGGGGTTTTAGTGGAGATCATGTGAGGACGACCAAAGAAAAAAAAAATCTCAAGAATACGTAAGTTGAATATATTCCATTTATTTTGCTGAAATTTAATAATTAACTTCAAGATGTTCAAATTTATTAACAGACCTAAAGAAAATCTGAAGTGTGGGGAGATACACCATTTCATGGGTTATTTAAATATTATAAAGGTTTCTTTCTATATTGCCACATTATAAAAAAACCTCCTATACTGACGTACTTTTGCTACAATTACGTCTCACTGGAGAATCAATGACTATGGCTCATTTTTAGTAGATAGCACTGAGAAAACTGGCTCACTCCATGGCGGAAACAACATGGATCTCATAAAGCTGCATTTCAAATGGATTAAAAACAGGAACAATATCCAAAATATACAGCAACCTATAAAGCCCAGCATTGACCAAGCAGAGCAGGCACCTGACCACTCAGAACTGCTGCCACTGAAGCCAGCAGGACTGCAGCCTCGTTTAGTCGCCTAAATAGACAGGAAAATAATTAGCCATTTTATCGTTAACATCAGAAAATGCAAAATATCTTACTGCATTTAAAGAAGAAACTACAAGGCAACAGACTATATGGCAAAATAGTGAATTCACAGATGCTAACAATTTCTGCTCTGTTGAAGGACACCTATAGACCTACAGATGTACAAAGTCAAGGGCATTCTGAAAAAGTTGTCTGAAATGTCTGAAATATTGCTCAGGAATAGACAAGTGGCTCCTGTGAAAACTCATAAAAAAGCTGGGTTACCCATTTTTAAAAAAACGGGGAAGAAAAAAAAAAGGAGCCATTCACAGAAAGGGAAGCTTGAAAAGCTGACTGGCACATGTGAGATGAGAAGGGAGGAGGGGCCTTGGCAAGGAAGAGCAATTACTTTTCTGAAGAAAATTCTGGGGGAAAAAATGTAAGAAAAAAAATTCTGGTGGAACCATAGTGATATTATGAGCCAAAATCCTCTCCTGGGGGTGGTACCTATACCAGCGAAGTGTTCAGGTCTGTCTAGGAGAGGGAGGACACATAAGAGGACACTTAGCCTTGTGTTTGGTGCTCAAGAGTTGGAGGCACCCAGGTTTCCACCGCTGAAGGGAATGGAGAAGTAAAAATGCACCTGGGGCCGCCTGTGGATACCAGACAGCTGAGTCCAAAACAATGGGACAGACACAGGGTAAACAAAACCAGGAAATACATGTTGAGTGACAAAGAAACAGCATAACAGATGACACATGGATATTAGAAGCATACACACAGAACATGGCGTTTTACAAGACAACATTCATATCCAGAGACACACAACAAAAGCATTCGAGTGGGTGCTTATGGGAGAGAATGGCATGCAAAAGGGGGAAAAGCTCTAAGACTGCAACCTCGGATCCAAAACAGTGGTGTGTGTGCACCAGGAAGGGAGGCTGGAAAAGCCCCTCGGGAGGACGAGACACCAAGGCTGAGCGAACCCCCACTTACATTCGTTACAAAAAACATGCACGTCTCTGCCTGTGCATGAACTCCGGTGAGGCGAGGCACCCCATCAGGGTAAGCACCACCAGCAAAGCACCCACCACACAGCCAAATCGAAGTTATGGTCCTAGTCATAGCATAAATCCCAGGTCTCGAATCCCAAATTTAACCCTTATTTAAATGTAAACAAAGTGTCAGAGAACAAACATTTTGATAAAGGAAAGGGCAGTGATGGAGGGATGCCTCTCTCCATGTCCTTGGAGGTTGGAAAACTCAACTCAAGAAAGGGGCAGGCGTGACCACCTGTGACCAACCAGGCGGCAGTCAGTGGCTGGAAAGCAAAGTCAGCAGGAAAAACAAAAGTCGCTCCTTGATTTTGCTTTAACCTGAGGAGATGTCCTCTCCATTTGCTCCAGGACTCCAGCAGGTCAAGTTCGATAAAGAGGGGCAGGTGTTCTCCCTGAGTCTAGCCTGGGCGCCTGGACAGGGAGAGGGCCTTCAGCCCCAGACCTCAATGAGGTCCCCGGATTCCATACCCAGATCGGCTGGCAACTCCTTGCCTGAAAGCTTCATTCCATCAAAGAAGAAAGCAAGCTGGCATCCCGAGAGCCCCATGGCCTCCTCGTAGCGAGCCATGAGGATTTTGAGGGGAGAATCCTGAGTGGAGGAGAAAATGTACATAAGGCAAGGTAGGAAGGGAGACTCTGAGGGATCAACAGAGAACTGGGACAAGGCGGAAAAGGGACCAATCAGGGAAGTTAAGAGTTCCAAAGAAGGAAAGGCAGTTCCTGTACTTGTGGAGCCACTGCCTCTGGGAAAGTGGGATGAGTCCCATCCTCTCTCTGCACCTGATTCCTTAAGAAGATTAGGTATATAGGTTCCAGGTTAGAAAGGTTCTCCAATGCTGGTGAGATTGTGGAGAAACTGGAACCCTTATTCACTGTTGGTGGGAGTGTAAAATGGTGCAACCACCGTGGAAGGTGGTATGGCGCTTTCTCAAAAAGTTGCAAATAGAGATACCATTTGACCCAGCAATTCCACAACTGGGAATATACCCCAAAGAGACCATAACTGACATCCAAGGAGATATATGCACATCCATGTTTATCGCAGCTTTGTTCACAATAGCAAGGAGTTAGAAACAACCTAAGTGCCCATCAACAAATGAATGGATAGAGAAGCTGTGGTATATTCACACAAAGGAATACTATGCATTGAAAAACAAGGAACTCATGAAATATTATTCAAAATGGGTGACCTTGGAGGACATTATGCTGAGTGAAATATCTCAGTCACAAAGGGACAAATACTGCATAGTACCACTGTTGTAAAACAGGACTGACATTGGGGTTGGGGGGAGACTGAGAAAGATGGGTTCAACAACGTATACTGCATTGAAACAGATGAGGGAGAAAACTGTTTAAATGGGATATGTGATTAGATATCATCATGACGGGAGTCCAGAGCAAAGGCTGCACAGTGGAGTGGACTCGGGGGGAGGGACTGTAAAACAATTAAAGAATTTTACTTTTCCAAGAGGGTAGTGTACTAAGGGGGAGGGTTGGGAGGGGAGAAAAGTGCAACAATGAATGAATGGAAATTCAAAGTCTCTGTAAATTTTCATTGAAATTAATAATAAATTAAAAAAGAAAAAAAGAAAGGTTGTCCAAGCCTCAGTCTCCTCAAGAAAATGGATTCAGGCTGTGGAGTGAGAATGACTGGATCTGGACGCCAGACTCTCTCACATAACAGCAATGTGACCTTAGACAAGTGACTCCACCTCTCTGAACCCATTTCCTCACTTGCCAAATGAGGGCAATAAGAGAGCTTTCCCATGTGGACTGTGGTGAAAGTTAGACAATATCCTAGGTGAGTGAAGCAGTCTCACAGGACCTAGCACTTCAAAGTGTGGCTGTCACTTTGGACAGTACCCACAAGAGCTATCAGACTAACAATAAAGGAAGAGAACCATCTTCAGTTATTTTAATCTGAAGTGAACTAAAGACACTCATCTACCTATTGCTACCTACCTAGCTTTTATTGGTTACTATTCCCATTTTAACTATAAAAGAAAGAGCAGAGGAAGGAGTAGAGAAGGGAGTAGGAATTAACCCCCAGGGCTCTCCCCACTATCTGGGGTGAGTGGGACCGCAGGAGTGTGTAAGGCAGTGTCTCCTCTATCAGGATGAGGAGAAACCTGTCCTGAACTACCCGACAATGAGGGACACAGAGGAACAGGTCAGGGGCAAGGAAATCAGCTCTCCTACTCACCGGGGACAGGGACACTTCCATTGTCTGATGTTTCTCCTTCCCCTGCACCCGCAGCTGGAGTTGCTGAGCTGTCTCTTCACTCTCTGGAGAACTTGCTAGCACCACACAGTCTGCAGGAGGCAAGTCAAGAAACCAAGCCTAAGTAAGGGGCTGGAAGCAGGGGGCCCCAGAACAGGTCTGGTAGGCCCTTCCCCTAGCACAGCCTCAAGGCCACACTCCTCCCTCCCTCCACCATTCTCTCACCAATGATGTCAGCCACTCCAAGCTTCAGGGTCCTTGGGGTGGCAGTAGGGGACAGCTCTGTCTCTCCAAGAAGCAAGAGGATCCTGCCAGGAGATACCCCAACGTGGGAAGCCATGTGGTCCACCACGCTCTTTAGGGGTTCCGACTGAACAGGGGGAAGAAACAAAGAGGAAACTTTCTGCTTTAATCTGTGCAATCCTCGCCCTACCACCACCATCCCAAACACAACTTTTAGCCTTAGACAGTGAGCTTCTTAGCTGTTTGCTTCATATTGACCCAACAAGGTATAGAATTCTGTAAACTGAAGAATCCAGGCAAGTAACATAAAGAAATGAAGCTACAGTGGGCTGTCTGGGAGACAAAAGGGTGCTCACCATTTGGACAGGCAATCTGACCAGGTCAGCCCGGCACCGAATTTTGAGTGGTAAGAGCCGAGGGCTATCTGGGAGGACGGGGCCCTCCACCAGGACCACATCATCTTCCTCCTGACCCTGGCATTTTTGACCCCGGCGCTCTTTGGGACTCAGGCACGAACGAAGATCTTTGAGGCGCTTGTTCACTTCCCTGAAGTGCAGAGGGGAGTTGGGGGTCAGCGACTCTCTCGGACGGTCCCCTCCTCCAACCATAAACCCTGCCTTTGCACCTTAACTTCTGGAGTGCCCTTGAATGCTTCCTGCTTTTGGTCCTTGGTGGAGGTGGGGGCAGAGGAGACACGTCCTGGAACCTACAGAGAGGAGAGGAGTGAGATGGAGGCAGAGGAAAGAGCCCAGCCTTTCCTTATCAGGGGAGATGGACCTTCAGGAGCCAGTGGGAGAGTGGAGGCATGTTCTAACAGCATAGGCTGAACTAGAAGACAGGAGTAAGTGCAGAACAGAGAAGATACAAGTTATTCTTGTATTTATATAACCCACATATTAGGAAACAAATGGCCACATTTTTAAATTAAGTTACTTCTCAAGTTCATGTCCAACAGACACAGACGGAGCATATACTGTGAATTTTGACTCAGGCAATCTACTCAGCAGCTCTCTAATACAGATATTGCTATGACCCTTATTTTACACACAGGGAAGCTAAAGCACAGAGATAGAGAAGAGACAGCAGAACTGGAACACACAGGCTGTCTTCAGGGCTGAATCATTAACCATGGACACGAAGATGAAATACTCCATGATCACCTAGAAAGATTCACTGTCATCCTCAGGGGTGGGCCACCTCCTCATCGAAGAGCCTCACTTCCCTCGAGCCTCAACAGTCCCTGCCTCCCTTCTCCTTACCACTCCAGCACCCCCCAAGCCCTCAAGAGTCCCTGCCTCCCTGCTCATCACTCCAGCACCTACCCCAGCGTCCTACCCACCTAAGCCTTCCCCACTACCCCTGTTCCAGCTCAAAAGGCTCAATTACCCTGTCTTACTCACATATACACCTTCTCCTCTTCTCCAACTTTACGCCTCAGCTTCTTTTTCCAAGGACTATCTGGGGATGAGGGGTCCTTAGGTTGGGAATTGTTAGAATCTGCTATTTCCATATCTAATGCAGAGGCAGGGAGAGAATGAAAGGTGGTTAGCCCAAGGAAAATAAAGTGAAGCCAAAGAGAAGTCAATGTAGACTTCCAGAAGAACTTCACATCTGTAGTCAATTTCTTTCTGTGCCATTTACAGCCCTGGCTGGATTGGCAGTTAGGAGTTGGTTCCACAGCAAGGAGGTTCTGACAGCAATGAGGGGACACATAACACATTTTTTTAAAATTTTTTTTTTCTTGGCGAGCTCTGGTCACCTAGTGGCAAGAAGCTGCACTGCAATCCCAGAGGCACAGTATGAATCCACCAGATGCTCTGCTGGAGAAGGAGGGACAATCTCCTCCTGTACCAGTCAGATCAGATGATGGTATACACACACACACATACACACATTTTTTTTTCTTCTCATCAAACCCCTCAATAATTCATTCCAGAACAGGTGCTAACTCCACTCAATTTCACAAGCAGAAAAAGAAAAGCAGATCTATGCCTCATGCCATATTAAAAAAATTAAATAAAAAAATAAACTAAGGACCTAAATTGCACAAACAAAAATCATAAAACTCTTAGAAAAAAAGCAAGGGTAATGCTCACAAGCATAGCTTTTAACAATAGATTATCAAATATAATTACAAAAGTACAAATTCCAAAAGACAAAGTAAATAAACGGGGCCTTATGAAATGTTAAAACAGTAAAAAGGCAGGCCTCTCTCTGACCCTTGGCCTCAATGTCCAGCCCTAGTCTTTCTTGCTCAGGTAAAGTTTACCAAACTTGTACCTCTGCCAATAATGTGCCCAGGGCCATCCCCAACTCTGCCAGTAAGCCCAGGCTCAACAACACCCAGCTCAAGCTCTGTGGGTCTTTCTGACAAAGGCCTGAAGAAGCCAACTCCATTCTCTTTCTTCCACTTCTGTGGCCATGTGGCCACTATTTCGTCCTGTGCCACCACACGCCCTCTCTGGTGTTCTGCCTCTGGTTCAGCCTGGGCACTCAAGTCCAGAGGGTGCACTGCATGTTCTGGCTCTTCACGCTGACGACAGGATGACAGATGAGCATTCTACGGCCTTATCTGCAAGGTCCCACCCTAAAAGGGGCCACATACCTCATTGATGTCATTTGCAAATTGCTTGGGGGCCAAGAACCTGTGACATTTATTTAGTCCTAACCAGTGATGGCACCTTAGTGTTAAGAGTTACAAAAAGAATAGCTAAAAAAACCCTAGCAATCCACTGTAGTGTACTACAAGTGGTCTGGAGGTTTAGGGTCATAACTACATTGGACAGACATCCCAGGTAAATGGCTTTATCACATATTCAATCCTTCAATTCTATTTCCTAGTTCCTTACACAGTACCTGGGGCCTTAAAGGCTTGCAGGCAGCCATCAAAACCCTAACTGGTTTCTATTTACCTGGAGCAACACAGGAAGAAGAGTCAAGAATAGGAGAAGGATATGGACTATGCGGCTTATTGCTTCCGTGAACAACTAAGTGCTTCCTCTGTCTTCAGACCAGAGGAACTGGATGGTGACTGGCAACCACAACTGAACATTTTTATCAAAGATTCCATAGAAGAATCCTGATCAAAAGTAAGTGGATACATCTTAGAGAAGTTGAAGGAAGGGAGCTCTGGTGGTCTAGTGGCAAGAAGCTGTGCTGCGATCCTGAAGGTGCACAGTTCAAATCCACCAGATGCTCCACTAGAGAAGGGGGACAATCTCCTCCTGAGCCAGTCAGATCCAATTCAATGGTACACAAGGAAAAAAAAAGAAATTGAAGGAAAAAATAACTGAAGAAAGGTTCCTAGGAAACTAGGCTACTGAGGCATGATTTTTTAATATGTTATTTTACCAACAGAAGTTCAGTTTGTGCCATTTTACACATTTTTCATGGTCATGCTTCATTCTTAAGTATTTACACTAGAATTATAAATTTTTAGAAAAAAAGTAGGGGTATAGTGAACTTCAAATTCTCCTGAACCCAGGCTTTCTGGAACCATGAAGATTGGATAAACCCTTGAAACTAGTGCTCTGAGATAATCTTTAAATCTTGAACCAAAAATAACCCCTAAAATCTTCTTAAAACCAAACAGCTTAACTACTAAGAAAATGTCTGCCTTGAGCATTACACTCTTTTAAGACCTATATGGGCTCGTCTGTGTACTACCATTTGCAAACCATGTCTCACATGCAAGCAAAAGCCAGATAATGAAGAAGGAAAGGTGATGAATCAATGTCCCTGAATTAAAGTGTTAGCAAAGGATATGAAACTACCACGGGCTGTCAGGAAAACGAACAAATCTGTCTTGGAATTAGTAGTCATTTTGTAAGGAACTTGGAATCAGTTTCTTGCAAACAGAACTAGAAAGAGACCATGTCTCGAATACTTTAGACATGTTATCAGGGAGGATAGAATGAGAATTGATGCCTTTGAGCTGTGGTGCTGGAGAAGAGTACTGAATGTATCAAGGACTGCGAAGAAAACGAACAGGTTCATCCTAGAGAGGGTTAAACCAGGCTGCTCCTTGGAGGGAAGGATTCTGAGGCTTCGTCTGACATACTTTGGACATGTTGTAAGGAGGGACTTGTCCTTGTAGAGGTGACATCATGCTTGGAAGGGTGGAGGGACTGCGCAGGAGAGGAAGACCCTCTATGAGGTGGATTGAATCACTGACTGGGGTAATAGGGGTAGGTGTGTCGGGGACAGTGAAGTTGGTACAGGACAGAACACGGTTTAGGGCTGTTATACATAGGGTTGCTATGAGTTGCAAGCGACTCAATGGCACATTACAACAACAATCAGGAGAGACCAGTACCCAGAGAAGGACATCGTTCTTCATGAAGTGGTTGTTGATAGGTGCTTTCAAGTCAACTAGTTTCCCAGGAACCCTAAAAGCAACAGATAAGAACCTTGCTTTATCCTGTGTCATCCCGACAATCCCCAACATACTCAAGCGCACTGCTACGCTGTGTCAATCCAAGTCCCTGGAAGTCTTCCTCTTCTGATGACCCTCCACCTTTCCCAGCATGATGTCTTCTCCCGAGGCCTGGCCCCTCTTGATAGCATGCCCAAGACATGTAAGATGAGGTCTCACCATCTTTGACACTAAGGAGTATCCACATTGCTCTTCTCCAAGACTTGTGATTTTGCCAGCCCTTGGTATGTATGGTCAGTACTCTTCAACGACACCACAATTTAAAGGCACTGATTCTTCTTCGAGCTTCCTTATTAACTGTCCAACTTTCAGGTGTATGTGAAAAAGGTGAAAATACTGTGGCTTGCATGTATTAGGTGTATCTCAGTCGTTAAACTGAGAATTTCCCAACGTAACACACTTTTTGACTTCCTGACTAGTACTCTAAGAGAGCAAACAGGTCTGTCCTGAAGGACGTGAAACCAGGGTGTTCCTTGGAGGCAAGGACAGTGAAACTCTATCTCACATACGTTTGGCATATTGTTAGGAAGGGCCAGTCTTGGAAAAGGACATCTTGCTTGGAAAGGTGAAGGGGCAGTGCAAGAAATGAAGGCCCTTGACAAGATATATTGACACACTGACTGTATGCAGCAGAGGGGTCAAACATGTTGGAGATAATGGGTTGGGTCAGGACAAAACAAGGATCAGAGCCGATGGTCATTGGATTCCTGTGAGACGTGGTCAACCTGACAGCATATAGCAACAACGGTACTGTAATTTGTTTATCATCTATCTTTAAATCACTCAGCTCTTATGCTAACATACAAAAACTTTTATCTATTCACTTGTCACCAATATATTATAAAAACGTTGTTGTTGGTAGGTGCCTAGAGTCAAGTACAACTCATAGATATCCTATCAACAACAGATCTGAACCCTGTCCTATCCTGTGTCATCCTCAACATTTCTAACACATCCAAGCCCATTACAGCAATCACTGTGTCACTCAATCTGATTCATGGTCTCTCTTTTGCCAACCCTCTATCTTCCTGAGCACGATGTTTCTTTCGAAGAAATGGCCTCTCCTAGCAAAATGTCATCTTTGCCTCCAAGGAGCACACTGGCTGTTCTTTTCTTCAAGACATATCCATCTGTTCTTTTTGGCTGTCTGTGTTCAGTACTCTTCATCGAGTGGCAACTCGATGCTTGGATTTGTTTTTCTGCTTGAGAAACACTGAGCAAGTTCTCCCCTTTTTATTCTTCAATTCCAGTTTTCTGCACATGCCATTATAGTACTGCTTTGTCTTCTTGAGATGTCCTTTGAAATCAATCATTCAGTTCTTTTACTTCAGCATCTCTTCCCTTTGTTTTGGCTTCCTGATGCTCTAGTGCAAGTTTTAGAGTCTCTTCTTCTAAAAAAAAAAAAGTACTGCAAATCTGAAACGATGCAAATAAAGCCCAGCTCAATGGTGCTCAGCCAAGGGCTGTGTTGTTCTTCTAAGAACAACAATTTCATGACTGAGATATGGTAGGTAGAGCCCAAGGATCCTGTTAAACATCTAACAATACACTAAACAACTCTCAGTGGTGATGAGGTTTAAAAATTCTGTCCTGGCTAAATACAGGAACTCTCAAGGGCCTAAGAGTCCATATTTCTCACAAGCTCCCAGGCGATGCTCAACATTGCTGGGCCCTCAGGAGAACAGACCTTTTATATGATCCTTTGCACTATTCCTTATTAAGTCTCACCAAAATCATGATTCATCATTCACACAGATCCACCATTATCCTCATTTTTCTGATGAGGAAACCAAAAACATTGAGAGCAATGGTGCACTTGTGGAAAACAAGTGGACAACTTTAGTTTCAAACTACCTGATGACTTCTCACAGTAGGTGAGGGGAACTGATCAAAAGAAACTGCCACCTGTTCAAGTAGTGCCCCTTAGAGACACAGGACTAAGACATTATTAAGTCATCTGCACAAGGCTACACAAGCCAACAGACTCCTATCTCGGTGCTCTAAGTCACTCTACTATACTCCTTCAAGGAACAAGTGTGCATCTCCTCCCTTTTAGGAATAATTTCTTCATTATTCCCATTCGCTGTTTTTGAGTGATGTGCACAAATCACATGCCCAGAGAGGAGACAAAGTTTAGTCTTGACAAAATTCAAGGAACACCTACTAGATCCAGAATTTTCTGGAGAAACTTACTGCAGATGTAATAGGATGTTCATCCCCTCCAGGATTGTTGTTGATTGCCTTCAGCAACCCTATGAACAAAAGGCCTTAAGCCCCTCTACAACTATCAACGTTTATCAAAGTTCATAGAGTTTCCAGACGCATGTCGTTTTGGAAGTCGATGCCACTCCTACTCCTAATAACATATTGTTGTTATGTGCCATGAGTCACCTGTGATGTACAGCAGCAGCTCCGAACCCTTCCCTGTCCTAAGCCAGTCTCACTAATTCCAACACACCAACTCCTATTGCGTCAGTCACTGTATCAATCTATCTCATCCGGGGTCTTCCTCTCCTGTGCTGTCTGTCCCCACTTCTGAGCATGATGTCCTTCTCCAAGGACTGATCTCTCCTGGCCACATGCCCAAAGTAAGTGAGGCGGAGCTTCAAAATCCTAACCTCCAAAGAGATACTTGGTTTCACCCTCTCCAAGACAGACTCATTTGTTTTCTTGCATTATTGCCTCCAGGATTAGGGAAGCGGAATCTTTGGAGGGGAAACCAGGAAACCTGCACACCTGTGCTTGTTAGAGTTGAAGGGAAGGCACAGCCTGTGAGTCTATTCCTGAGCCCTGTGGTTTCTAACCTAGGCTTCCTGGAGCTCTCTGAAGCCTGTCTCTGAGCCTCTACAGTCAACGGAGAACAGGGCTATGAACTCCAGAAGTCTCCCCAAAAAGGCCAATGCTGGCTCCTCTCCCTGGAGCCCTTCCTTACCTTCCTCAGCTTCTGGGGGGCAGCATTTCAGGAGGGGCATGTGAGCTGGGAGGAGGCGGAGACTGCTTTTCACCTGCAAAGACCAAGAGTGGGAGGGTCAGTTCCAAGTCCCCTTTCCACTGAAAGAGAACGGGAGGGGGCTTCCTCCTTGTGCGCTTCCCCCCAGGCCTCCTCTAGTTATAAAGTCCTCCCTAAGGATGTGGACACCACAGCTCTTTCCTGGGGAACCTGTCAAGCTCCTCTAAAAAAAACCAAAAAAAAAAAACCAAACCCACAGAAACCCCTCAAACTCATTGCCTTTGACTCATAGCTGACCCTCCTACAGGTTTTGGGGTGGGGGATGTCTAGAAACTGCAGAGGAGAAGACTGCCCATATTTCTCCTGCTGGGCCACTGCTGGATTCGAACCAGCTCAGCTCTCTACAGAACTGCACCACCAGGTGCCCTGGCAGGTTTCCTCAAATTTCACATGCCTGGTATCCATCACCCTCTGTCCCCAGGCACCATTCCAAGAGCTTTTGCTTATTTGGCTTTTTTTCCTTTTTTTGGGGGGGAGGAGGGGGGTTTGGTTTGGTGTTGTGTTTTTTTTTGGTGGGAAAAATTTGTATTTAGAATTAGCCCACTGGACTCAGTTTAGATGATCCTAATTTTGTTGGCAACATCCAAAGCATCATAGTCAGGAGCAAGCTGAGCATGCTTGTTGGCCTTGACATCCACAATGAACACAATTGTTACTTTCTATCTTCTTCAGGGCTGACTCAGTGGTGAGGGGAATTTTGACGATAGCAAGTGGTCAAGCTTGTTTCTCCTGGGGGCGCTCTTCCTGGGGTATTTGGGCTGCCTTTGGAGTCTCAGCGTTTTAGGCCGCTGGGAAGGTGGGTGACATGTGGATATTTTTTGGGCTGTGGCTGCCCTTCAAGATGCCTTCTTGGCCTTTAATGCCTTTGCTTTGGCTTCAGTTTTGGGAGGGGCGGGGGCTTCCTTCTTCGCTTTTGTAGAAAGGCTACTATTTTTACCATTCATTTGCATGGTGTCTCATGCGTGCACACTGTGTTCCATACAGTCTTTCAATTACATCCTGCTTCCTTCATTTATATTGTGGGTTGTTTATTTGCTTTCTCTAAATCGCTAGCCATCCCTCTCCCTCTCCCCGCCCGCTGATAAGGAAAGCAGATGTCCCCTGACTCAAACCCAAACCCCAACCCCACTGTCTTCTGGTCGATTCCGATTTAGAGTCCGTCTCCATCGCGTTTCCAAGGCTGCAAAGGAGGGATGGACTAACTTTCTCCCGCATAGCGGCCAGTGGACGGGAAGTGGCCACTTGTCGCCCAGCGGTCCAAGCCTAGCCCTCCCTGGACACTAAGACTTAAAGCCCGACTACAGATTGCCCCCAGTCCCTTCGCTTTCCGGGGTCTCCAAGGCGCCTGTCCGAGAATCCCACGCCCTTCATCTCCCCAGGAGTCCTGCATCCCTGGCTTCAACCCCTGACCCCCGACCCCAGCTCCCCGACCCCGGCCCAGCCTCTCCCCGCCCGCCCCGGCCCGGGGTCACCTTCTCCGAGTACACGGGAACCACCGGGGCCTCCGCCGGATCCAGCAGCCGCGGCCGCCGCCTGACCGCGATCCGCGCGGTCCCTTCGGATGGCGCTCCCGCCCCGTCGCTGTCGCTGTCGCTGTCGTCCCGGGGCGCGGCCGGCACGGGGGACACGGGGAGCGGGGACTCCGCCGGGTCCGCGGTCCCGCGCTCGGGTTCGACTTCCAGGACATCCTCATCGCTGTCGCTGATCAAATCCACAAAGTCCGAATCCAGGGTGGGAGGCTGCTGAACTTGAGAACGTCTACCCCGATGGCCTCGAGCGCCCCGGGCACTCCGAGCACCCCGGGAAGCCCGGGCACCCCGACCCACACAGCCACCTCGGGAAGACCGACCCCGTTTCCTCAGACGTTCCGCCATCGCTCAAGTCCGCGCCTGCAAACACCCAACTCCTCGTCTCGCCCGGCCCCCTCCAGTGAATTCCGCTTCCCATTGGACGAAAAGCCTGCGCGTCAAAACCTCGCCCCACCCACACCGGCCGGCTGCACATCCCACATTTTCATTGGTGACTACAGCTGTCCATCACATACCCACCACTGAAAGATAGGCGCCAAGTAATCCAATCACCATCCGTGCAATCAGCGAAGGTTTTGATTCGACTCCGCTGAGGCATCGACCGCATTTTCTCTTCCGGACACATCTTCTCTCTCAGGCCCGCCCATGAGAGTAACCGTTTTCCCCACTCTGGTTGGAAGAGGAGCAGGGCATTCTGGGAATTGTAGTCCTCAAACCCTAAGGTTAGTACACCAATGTTCATAGCAGCGTTCTTCACTGTCGCAAAGAACATGGAAACAGCCCAAATGTCCAACCACAATCGAATGGATTGAGAAATAATAAGACATTCACACGATGGGATACTACGCAGCATGAAGTAGCAATGATTTTGTAAATTACTACCTAACTTGGGAGGGACTGGAGAGCATCATGCTAAGTGAACTAACTCAAGTCCATAAGGACAAATACGGTTTTATTAGTAGTTCATTATTGTAGAACGTGCATGAGGATCCAAGAGGGGAAGGGTGGGAGCAGAGGGGTGAGGATGGGTGGGAGTGGAGGTTAATCATAGGATCACATAATTTGATGGGCGGAGGGAGAAGTCGGTAAAGGAAACGGGAAATCCGGTGTGAAAAAACAATATATACTAACTTTGTAAGTAAACCAATATAAAATAAAAAATTTATTGGCCCAGTGGCAAGAAGCTGTGCTGCAGTCCTGAAGGTGCTTGTTACAAGGACGGACACACACACACACACACACACACTCACACACAAAAGACCACAAAACATCTTAAGGTAACTGAAGGGAGTTCTGGTGGGCTAATGGCAAGAAGCTGCACTACAATACTGAAGGTACGTGGTTTGAGGCCACCAGCTGCTCCGCATGGGAGAAGGATGGGCAATCTACCGTGTGATTAACTGCCTCTGAAAATCCGCTGGAGGGTCAGCTATGCGTTGGTTCCGACTGGACAGTACACAACAATAACAACAAGGTTACTGAAGTAAGGCACATTTGGAAATCCTATTAGGAACCCTGGGCGAAGCTGGAGATAACTATTGCTTTTGTTTGAGTCTCTCCAGTTGGCTCCAACTCATACAGACCTTACCAGTTCCTGCTCCATCCTCACAATTTCTGCCGTGCTTGAATCCTCCCCCCTCCCCCCCCACAGTTGCAGGCACTATGTGTGATCCCATCTAGAATGTCGACTTTTTCCTCTGACCCTCTTTTGGTGCTCCATAGTATGTTCAAGTCTTCACAAACACCACAATTCAAAAGCATCTGTTCTCCTTCAGTCTTCCTAAATCTTTGTCCAACTTTCATATACATATGAAGCAATTGAAAATACCAAGGCTTGGGTCAGGCCCACCTTAGTCCTCAAAGTGACATCCTTGCTCCTTGGCACTTTAAAGAGGTCACCGGCTACAGATTTACCCAACACAATACCTGGTTTGATTTCTTGACTGCTGCTTCCATAAGGACTGACTATAGATCCAGGTAAAATTAAATTCTTCACAACTTCAAATTTGTTTCTGTTTATCATGATCTTATTTATTGATCCAGTTGTAAAAACTCATTTTCTTAATGCTGGGGTGTAATCATACTGAAGGCTATAGTCCTTGAGCATCAGTAAGACTTGAAGTCTGCTTTCTGCAAGCAAGGTTGTGTCATCAGCATATTACAAGCTCTTGATTCATCTTCCTTCAAGCCTGATGCCATATTCCTTTTTATATGGTACAAATTCTTGGATTATTTGCTCAACACACAGAATAAGAAGATGTACTGAAAAAATAAGAAACCTTGTTAATGTCATACTTAATGTGCCAAGTTCCAACCTACTGTTTTGAATCCATCAGTTTGCTCTACAGTAAAAAGATGGACAGTCACTTCCTGCGAGTATGTACAGCCATCAGTGTGACTATGGACCTGAATAAACTTGATAGCAATGGACTTTTGAGTGAAAGGATATTGCCTGGACCCGTATTTTTTTCTGATTTTAAACTACTCCATATCCTCTGTTTTGCTTCTTGTTCTGTGTGTTTGTTCCACATAAATAGCACAATTCAGTGTTCTGGAATTCCCATTCCTCTCAGTGCTGCCCATAATTTATTAATCCACACAGTTGAATGATAAAAATAATTTCCATATTCTCTGCTACCAGCCAAGATTCATCTTTCACAACCTCATTTCAATGTCTGGCAATTCTCTGTCACCCTGATCCAGCTGTTGTATTTCATTTATCTTCAGCAAGATTTTTGAATACTCAAATGGATATCAGAAGAGACTCTAAAATCTGCTCTAGAGTATTGTTGTTATGTGCCATCGAGTTGAGGATGACTCATTGTTCAGCAGATCTGAACCCTGTCCTATCCTGTGCCATCTTCATCATCTCTGACATACTTGAGCCCATTGCTGCAACCACTTCGTCAATCCATCATGTGAACGGTCCTTCTCTCTTTCACTGATCCTCTGCTTTTTCAAGCATGATGTCCCTTTCCAAGGAATAGCCCCTGTTAATAACATGCCCAAAGTATATTAAGGGAAGCCAAACTTTATACCAAATAGTATAAGAAAACCCTTGTTCAGGAACTGAAGGAATTACAAATTTATAACTTACGATTTCTCTTGTGGCAGATCACAGAAAAGAGCTGTTTGTTCCCTGCAGACAGGAGACCGCTAGGGCCCCCCTACAGAGGGAGTGTTACTTCCTGAGCTAGCGTTCACCCTGAGGCACCAAGGCAATCCTTAAGGGTATACCAAATTCTTGCATTTGCTAAGCCCTCTCTCCTAAGACAAAGGGAAGGTTTTCAATAGAAAGAGCTTGGCTTCATTTACAAGGAATTCCTTTTTACTTTATTTCATTATTTTTTGTGTGTACCATCAAATCAGATCTGACTGGTACAGGAGGAGATTGTTCCTCCTTCTCTAGCAGAGCATCTGGTGGATTTGAACTGTGCACCTCTGAGATTGCAGTGCAACTCCTTGCCACTAGGCCACCAGAACTCGCCAAGGAATTCCAATTCCTTTTATGATTTGCTTCCCCTGATTATCAATAAATACACGGAGAAACATGACTTGGGGTCTTCAGTTGAGAACTGCTGGCCCCCTGTTTTATGCTCTCTGTTCTATCTCATTCCTGACTGCCTGTTTCATTATTAATAATTATAAAAATACCCTTGGTCTGCAACTGTATATGAGACAAAGCTTGACCATCTTTTTCTCTAAAGATACTCGGGCTGCACTTTTTCCAAGACATATCTACTAGTTCTTTTGGCAGTCTGTAGGATGGTCAGTACTTTTTTCCCCCCCTTAAATAAATTTTTTATCTTATACTAGTTTGCTTACAAAGTCTTTATACCTTGTTTTTCATGCCAGATCTTTTCCATTTCCTTTATCTTTTCCTCAAGTCAGTACTCTTTCACTACCTGACAACTCAAAAGCATTACTTTTCCTTCTGTCATCCTTATTCAGAACTCAGATGCAGAGCAAGTTATTGAAAAGACCATGACTTGAATCAGGTGTTCTTTAGTCATAAACTAACATCATTGCGCCTCCATACTTTGGAGAGGGCCTTGACAACCAATTTTCCTAATGCAATACATCTTTTGATTTCTTGATTGCTGATGCCGAAGGTGTTAATTATGGATCCAACCGAGGTGGAACGGTTGACAATTTCAATCTTTTCCCCATTTATCATGATGTTGCCTACTGGTCTGGTAAGCATAGTGATAGCCAGGACACAGCTGAGATCAGAGTCCAGGCTGGACGGGGTGCCCTCTGCAAAGAGAGAATGCTGCCCAACCCCCTGAAGGAGATACTGGATGCCCTCTGCAAACAGAGTTCAGTCCAGTCTCCCACCAGAGGGGATGCTGTTCCTGAAATTTGCAATCATCCTGCTCTTGGTTTAAGAATTAAGCTTACCCATTGTTATGTAGGCAACACTTACATGTACGGAAAATACAGCCTCACGAGATAGGAACTTTTTTTCCCCTTTGTAGGTTTAAACTAAATAAAAACTATGAGAAATCTAAGGAAGAAGGAAGATGCCTTTTCACAGTGCTAAGCTGTGGAGGACCTCTGCCTGGCATTCCTCTTTTTCAGAATTCATTTCTTCATGTCCTTGTTTTCATTCTGTGTCCGGTTAACAACAGCCTGGTGCTGATGATTTTTGTCTTCTTGATGTTGAGATAGAATCCATATTGAAGGCTTCTCCAGCAAAGATTTCAAGTGTTCTTTAATTTCGGCAAGCAAGGTTGTGTCATCTGCACAACTCGGTTTACTAATGAGTCTCTCTCCTATCCTGATGCCTTCTTTTTCCTCGTAGAGTCCAGTTTCTCAAAAAATTTGCTCAGCATACAGATTGAACAGGCATGGAAAAAGGCTATAACCCTAACACATACCTTTCTTGTTTTTAAGCCATGCAATATAGAGAAGCTAAAGTGAAAGAAAAAAAAATACTGAAGAGAGTCTCACAGAAGATTTCAGAGGGACGTTTGAGTACAGAAGATGTTATAAGTCTGGAGTCAGGAAATCAAAAGGAAGAACATTTTTGGCATTTCTCAAGCTAAAAGAACTGAAGATTCAAGCCTCAAGTTGCTAGACTGAAGAATTCTATGGGTAAAAATATTGAATGACACAGGAACTATCAAAAGAAGATGGCCTAGTGGCAAGAAGCTGCATTGTAATCACAAAGGCACACAGTTCAAATCCACCAGATGTTCTGCTGGTGAAGGAGGGCCAATCTTCTGTACCATTCAGATACAACTCAGCGGTACACACACACGCGCGCGCGCGCGCGCGCACACACACACACACACACACACACACACAGAGAGAGAGGATAGAGGAAGTACGTGGAGTCACTG